TAGTTGTGGGGCTTGAACTCAGGACTTCAGTACTGTTCCTGAGTTTTTGTACTCAAGGCTAATGCTATACCACTTTGAGCCACCGAACCACTTCTGGTTTTCTGGTGATGAATTGGAGCTAAGAATCTCATAGATGTATTAAATATGTAAGGTCTTATCTACGTGGGTTTGATTACAGAAACTAATAAAGTATTCTCTAAATAATGAAAAAAAAAAAAAAAGAATCTCATAGACTTCTCTGCCCAGGCCAGTTTGGAGCCATGGTCCTCAGATCTCAGCCTCCTGTGTAGTTAGGATTACAGGCATGAATCCCTGGCACCTGGCACAAACTACTTTCTTATAAAATATGCTGTTTTGGTTCTTAGAGATAACTTTCAAAACTATGTGTTAATAAAAAAACATAGGTTCTTAAGGCAGAGAAATTTTGGCTGAAAGACTAAGAAAATGACCAAGGAAATTTTCCATAGTCTACTTTCAGTGATAATTTTTCTTTTCTTTTCCCTCCTTCCTTCCTTCCTCCCTCCCTTCCTTCCTTCCTTCCTCCCTTCCTTCCTTCCTTCCTTCCTTCCTTCCTTCCTTCCTTCCTTCCTTCCCTCTTTCCCTCCTTCCTTCTTTCCTTTTTTTCTCTTTTGTGACAGTCCTGGGGCTTGAACAAAGGGTCTGACACTGTCTGTGAGCTTTTTTTGCTCAAAGCTATCACTCTATCATTTGAGCCATGGCTCCACTTCTGACTATTAGGTGGCTAATTGGAGATTAAGAGTCTCACAGACTTTCCTGCCTGGGCTAGCTTTGAACTATGTTCCTGAGATCTCTGACTCTTGAGTAGCTAGGATTACTGGTGTGAGCTGCTGGTACTGGGCAAGGATTTTTCTTAATTCTAGATTGGTTATGGACATGTCTTGCTAAATACTTGAAGAGGCCCGTTCAAGTTTGAGGCTAAAGTTAGAAAGTCTCTTTAACAAGTTACAGGCAGTTCAAAACATAGTAAAAAGTATGTGAAAGTCATCAGAAAGAGATTTAGATCCAACAGGAAGGTAGTCAGACCAGAAAGGTTTCAATATATAAAGAAAAGTCTCAAAACTGCTCGTAAAAGTCTTAGGTAGTCATCAAGAGATTCAAATGCTTAAAAATAAAAGGCCTCAAGCTGAGTGTAGTGGTCAATGCCTATAATTCCAGCTACTTAGGAGACAGAGGCCAGAGAATCACAAGTTCAAGGCAGTTCCACACAGCTAGTGACACGCTATCTCAGAAACAAAATACAAACTAAAAAGCTGGGGGTATAGTTCAGATGATAGAGTGCTTTCAGGTGTTGATGAGGCCTTGGTTCCAGTCCTAAGTACCACAAAAAAAGCAGGATAGGCACAAAGCTGTGAGGAAAAGTTTTAATGATATTTGAAAGGGTTTTGCATAGAAAATATCTATCAAAAAAGTTATGAAGGCTGCTGGGTGCTGGTGGCTACTACTTGCTACTGAGGAGGCTAAGATTTGAGGAACATGGTTCAATGCCAGCCCAGGCAGGAAAGTCAGTGAGACTCTTACACATAATTTACCACCAAAAAACCAGAGATGAAGCTGTGGCTCAAAGTGGTAGAGTGCTAGCCTTGAGCAAAACAGAGAGCCCAGGTCCTGAGTTCAAGCCCCATGACGACGACGACAACAACAACAACAACAAAAAGGTCATGAAGACACTGAACCATCAGGAAGAATCTTAAGCAAGTCATAAAGAATTACTCCTATGTCCAGAGATGTCTGAACATCATTGAAAACTGTCAAAAATCAGCAATGATCCCAAATAGGTCAAGTGTCTCAGGGCAGCAAGCATCTCAAATATGGCAAGAAGAGTCTCAATCATGTCAGAGAGACTCTCAAGCAAGAAAATATTGTTTCAAATATAATAAGGAGGGCCTCAAATTCACCAGGAATGATTTCAAACAACAACAAAGAATCTTACCATTAAGGAATCTTTGAAGTAAGGCAGGAAGAGTCACCAACAAATTAGGATACATCTTTGACATGTCAAGCAGGGCTTCAAGCAAATCAGGATGAGTCACAAATGTGCCATGGAAAGTCTCAAACATGTCAGGCATTTCAAGCATGCCACAAGGGTATCACACAAGTCAGAAGAGGTTTGAAGCATAACAGACAGGGTCTCAAAGGCATCAAGAAGAGTCTCACATACTTCAAGAAAAGCTTCAAATACTTCAAATATGTCCAAAAAAAATTCTCAACTATTCCAGGGAAACTATCTGATATAACAAGTCAGGAAGGATCAAAGGGTCTGGGGAAGAATCTTACCTGCTCAGAATGGGTCATAAGCAAGTAAGAATGAGTCTTCAACAAGTGGGAAGGTTGTAAAACATGACAAAAAGGATGTCAAAGACAACAGGGAGAGTATCAAATGGCCAAGAAGGGCCTTAGAGCTGGGTGCTGGTGGCCCACACCATAAACCCTAGCTACTCAGGAGGCTGAGATCTAAGGATCATGGTTCAAAGCCAGCTGGACAGGAAAATCTATGGGACTCTTATCTCTAATTAACCACCAGAAAACTGGAAGTGACACCATGGCTCAAAGTGGAAGAGTGCCAGCCTTGAGCAAAAAAAAAATGCTCAGGGATAGTTCCCAGACCCTTAGTTAAAGTCCCATGCCCAGCAGGAAAAAAAAAGGAAGGAAGGAAGGAAATAAGGAAATAAATGCAAATAAAAACAAAACCAAAATGGCTGGCAGCATAGCTCAAGTGACAGAGCCCTTGCCTAGCATATACAAGGCCCTGGGTTCAAATTCAGTGATGAAAAAAAGGAATCAAGAAGGCAACAGTCTCAACTAGGAAATGTTCATGGGTATGTTTAGAAGTCTCAAACTTGTCAGGAAGAGTGTCAAACAAGTACAGGTCCCAAACATGTCAGGAAGGGTCTCAAGTCAAGTAGAGTGTCTTGCAAGTTCACAAAGGGTTTCCAACTGCCCCCATTAGGGAGGGCTTCAACATCATTCTAGAAGTCTCGGACATACCAGGAAGAATTTTCTCATATCAGGATGTGTTTCAAACATTACAGGAAGTGTCACAAAGAGAAAGGAAGGAGCTGTAATCCATCATGAATTCCCTCAAACCAGACTAGAAGGTTCTCCAAAATCATAAAAGGAAAGCTTTGAAATTTGTCAAGTAAGGGATATACATAAATGTGGAAATGTCTCAAGGTCTCTTATATGTTACTCGAAAAGATTCTCAAACCATTCCATTCTTTTGTGATGGATTTGAGGCACTGGCTTTCTATTTATGACCCCTTCTGCCAGGTTTTCTTGACAGTTTTAATACTCCTCCTGTCAGAAAGCATGTTAAATCCACCAAGAAGTGTCTCTAATATATGAGAAAGGACTCAAATGAGTTAGGGGATGCCTCCAGTGTGATAGGAAGAACTCAAGTTTGCTGAGAAATATGCAGAATGGAGAAGAAAAGTTTGTTATACATGATGAAGTATCAGAACAAGTCTAGAGGTTTCTCAAAGCAAAATAATAAGAAAGTTGCAAATAAATCAGTAAGAATCTCAGACAGAGATAGGGTATCGCTGAGTGCTGGTGTCTTATACCTGCAATCCTAGCTACTCAGGTGACTGAGATCTGAGGATCACAGTTCAAAGCCAGCCCAGGCAGGAAAAGTTCATGAGAATCTTAGCTCCAATTAACTACCACAAAACTGGAAGTGGTGTGGCTCAAAGTGGTAGAGTGCTACCCTTAAGCAAAAGAGCTTAGGGACAGTGCCCAGGCCCTGAGTTCAAGCCCCACAACCGACAAAAAAAGAAATACAAGGTCTCTGCCAGGAAAGGCTTCCAATGTCAGTAAGAGTCTCACCAGGAAGAGTAGGCAACATATCAGGAAGTCTTGTGTAGAGAGAGGAAGGGTCTCTTATGAATCAGAAATGTTATCAAACAAGTCCAAAGGTTCTAAAGTAGTCAGAAATGATATTAAGTATGTAAACAAAGGACTCGGTGAGAGAATTTATGGCTCAAAAAGACCAAAATACCTCTGAAAGGGTCCCGAACTTGTCAAGAAATGTTTTCAGTAGATTTACTTCATAAGCAAATCCTAAAATGGCAAGAAGAGTCCCAAACATGACCAGAAATGTCTTTAAACTTCTCAGAACAGAAACTGACCAGAGCAGAAGGAAGAGTCTCAGATACCTAAGGTAATATCTCAGTTAAATTAGGAACATTCTCATGGTAGTAAGAATGAGTCATAAATATTTCAGTAAGGTTTACCAAACTAAACAAAGAGGCTCAAATTCACTCAAGAGAGTCTCAAACGTGTCAGAAAGTTTCTCAAGCAAATCAAGAAGGGTCTCAAGCAAGTTAGAAAAGATCTCCTGCATGTCAAGAAGAGTTTTCACAGCAGTTTGAAGAGTCTCCAATATGTCAGGAAGAATCTCCAATAGGAAAAGTTTCTCAAAAGAGTCAAGAATGATTGCAAAGAGGAAAGAAAAGTCTCCATGGAGCTGGGCACCTGTGGTTCATGCCTGTAATCGTAGCTACTCAGGAGTCTGAAATCTGAAGATCCTGGTTCAAAGCCAGCCTGGGCATCAAAGTCTGTGAGACTTTTATCTTCAACTCACTACCAAAAAACCAGAAATGGAGCTATGGCTTCAAGTGGTAGAGTGCTAGCCTTGAGCATAGAAGCTTAGGGACAGCATCCAGCATCCAGAGCAGTGTGTGTGTGTGTGTGTGTGTGTGTGTGTGTGTGTGTGTGTGTGTATACACGCACACACACACACACACACACACACACACACACACACACACACTTCTCAACTATGTCCTAATGGTCCCAGCCTGGAAATATCTCAGACATTAAGAAGATTCTCACATGCATCAGAAGTAATTGCAAATATGTCAGGATCATAGGAATCATCTCAGACAATTCAGGAATGGCCTCACACGTATCAGGGACCAAGCGTCTCTTCAAATATGTTAGCCATGGTTGCATGTATGTCAGGAAAGTTCTTAACCATAGAGAGGTAAGTGTGTGGGTGCTGGAAAAGATTTCTAACACATTAAGCAAGTGGATGGATATCACCAGAAAGTCTCAAATAGAGGAAGAGTCTCAAACATGGCAAGAAATATTCCCAAGAGATTGGAAGAATCTGAAACACATTAGAAATCCTTTCAATCCAGAGTGGAAGGATCTCAAAGTAGGAAAAGTGTGGTATTCATCATTGGGGGCAGTAAGAGCCTCAAAGACATGTGGAAGGGATGTAAATATTTCATGAAGAGACTCCAATGAGCTGGGAAACAGCTCCAGCCACTCAACGAGATGTCTCAATGTGTCACAAAGAGTCTCAAAAAAAAAAAATCCTGAAAACATGTCCAGAAGAGTTTTAAATATATCAGGTTCTTAAGTATGACAAGAAGAGTCTCAAGCATGCCAGCAGGCATCTTAAACATGTTAAAAAGTGTGTGAATTGTCTCAGAAACCATCTAGACAACAAAGAGAGGAATAATCTTAATTACATCATTAATCCTTTTAAGCAAGTGCAGAAGGGCTGCAAAGAATCAACAAGAGCTTTAAATATGACAGTAAGTATCTCAAACAGAGAGACACACATACCTCTAGATCGGTCTCCGATAAGTCATAACAAATTGAATAGACCAGTAAGAGACTCAAACAAGACATGAAGGGTGTCATGCATATCAGGGAGAGATTTAAAGATAGCACAAAGTACATATTTCAGAGAGAAATATGTGACCCAAATGTCTAAGGAAGGTGTTTTTTTGTTTGCTTCTTTTGGTTGGTCATGGGGTTTAAACTCAGGACCTGGGTGCTGAGCTCTTTTTTTTTTTCCTTTCCAGTCAAGGGGCTTGAACTCTGGGCCTGGGCACTGTCCCTGAGCTCTTCAGCTCAAGGCGAGTGCTCTACCGCTTGAGCCACAGCACCACTTCTGGTTTTCTGGTGGTTAATTGGAGAAAAGAGTCTCACGGACTTTCCTGTCTGGGCTGGCTTTGAACTAGGATTACAGGCATGAGCCACTGGCACCCAGCTTCCCTAAGCTCTTTTGATCAAGGCTAACATTCTTCCACTTTGAGCCACAACGCCACTTCTGGTTTTCTGTTGGTTAATTGGAAATAAGAGCCTCACAGACTTTCCTGCCCTGACTGGCTTCCAACCTTGATCCTTAGATCCTCAAATCCTTAGATCCTCAGATCTCAGCCTCCTGAGCAGCTAGGATTACAGGAGTGAGCCACCAGTGCCAGGCACTTCTAAGGACGTTTTTGAAGAGCAATGAAGGGTCTTCAATATATGAGGAGCCATTTTATATAAGTCAGGAAGGTTTTCAAACATACCAAGAAAGGTCTGAAATGTGTTCTAAATACACCAAGCAGATCTGGAATGAGTATTGAACAGAAAATGTCTGAAACTTCTTAGGAATTTTCAAGAAGAAAGATTTTCAAACATATCAGAAAGCATCTTTAACAAATTCTCAAAGTAGTAAAGATGCACTGTAAATAATTCTATAAGGTATTGTCAAAAGATGGGAGGTTCTCAGGTACTTCTCAGATACTTCTACTGTCTCAAACATGTCAGAAAGGGTCCTCGAAAAAGTCAGAGAGCTAGTTGCCGGTGGTTCACACCTCTAATCCTAGCTACTCAGATGCTGAGATTTGAGGATCGTGGTTTAAAGCCAGTTCAGGCAGGAAAGTTCGTGAGACTCTTATCTCCAAAGAACTACCCCAAAGCCAGAAGTGGAGCTGGGGCTCAAGTGGTAGATGTTAGGAAGCAGAGTCATTTTCAGCATCACTTCTTAGGAAACTGAGTCATGAGTGTTAGGAAAGATCTAGCAGATGAAAGGAAGGAAAGAAGGAAGAGACTAGAACAGGCTTTAATTCTTGCTGCAGAGAGACTCCATGTAACACAGAGCAGTATTGGAGAAACAGGGTGTGGGAGTGGGAGAGGGGTTAAAGTTTTTATACATTTGAGGGAGAGAGATTCTTTTGAATGTCTTTGTAGTTGCAGCAGACTGTATAATGTCCTTGCAGCTGTGGCAGACAGTGAACTTTCAGATAAGGTCTGGGGTGAAGTTTTGCTGAGAATAACTCAAGGCCAGGGATAAAATTCTGGGGAGGGGGTCAGTGAGCCATGGGACCAATATGGAGTTATAAGAACAAAGCAAATTCTCATCAGTAAATTGCTAGCCTTGAGCAAAAAAAAAAAAAAAATTAAGGGACAGTGCCCAGGCCTTAAGTTCAAGCCCCAGGACTGACACTTCTCCTCTCCTCCCCCCTCCGTCCCCACCCCTTACAAAAAAAAGGCAGAGAATTGCTCAATGAAGTCAGAAAAGAGCCTACCTATGAAATCTAGAGTCATACATAAGTCATGAAGGTTCTCAAACACATGAGGAAGAGTCTTTTTTTTTTGGGGGGGGGGTCCGGTCATGGGGCCTGAACTCTGGGTCTGGGTGCTGTCCCTCAGCTCTTCAGCTCAAGGCTAGCGCTCTACCACTTGAGCCACAGCACCACTTCCAGCTTTTTTCTTTTTGCTTATGTGGTGCTGAGGAATCCAACCCAGGGCCTCAGGCATGCAAGGCAAGTGCTCTACCACTGAGCCACCTTCCCAGCCCGAGGAAGAGTCTTAAAAGGTTAAATGACCTTAAAGATGCAAGAAGAATCTAAAAAAAATATAAACAAAACAACAAAAGTGGAGTGCCAGTGGCTCACGCCTGTAATCCTAGCTACTCAGGAGGCTGAGATCTGAGGATCCCGGTTCAAAGGCAGCCAGGGCAGGAAAGTCCGTGAGACTCTTACCTCTCATTAAACACAAGAAAACTGGAAGTGGAGCTGTGCTCAAGTGGTAGGATGCTAGCCTTGAGCACAAAAGCTCAGAGGTAGCGCCCAGGTTCTGAGTTCAAGCTCAATGACCAACAGAAAAAAAAGTCAGAGTAGTCTGAAATGCAGAAAGTGTTTCAAATACTACAGTATGAGTAGCATGCATGTCAGCAATGTTCTCTAATGTACCATGAGAGTTTGCAAACAGGAAGAATTTCAAGCAAGTCAGAAAAGGCTTTAGGTATTTCAGTATGTATGAAAAAAAGTAAGGAAGGCTCCTAATCTTGTTAGGAAGAATCCAACATGATTATAAATCTTCTCAAATACCACTGGAAGGATCAGGAAAATATCTGGGAGAGCTTTACTTTCATTTTAATTTTTTTATTTTATTATTATTTTTTGCTAGTACTGAGGCTTGAATTCAGGGTTTAGGTGCTGTCCTGAAGCTTCTTTTACTCAAGGCTAGCACTCTACCACTTGAGCCACAGTGCCACTTCTGGCTTTTTTCTTATGTGGTGCTGAGGAATCGAACCCAGGGCCTCGAGCATGCAAGGCAAGCGCTCTACCACTCAGCCACCTTCCTAGCCCTCAACTTCTGGGTGGGGATGGGAGGGAAAACCTGGGAGAGAGCAAGGGAAGGAGTGATATTATTCAAAAAGAAATGTACTAGTTACCTGACTTATGTAACTGGAACTTGTACATCACCTTTATAATAACAGATAGATAAACAAACAAACAAGACAAAAAGAGAAGAAAACAATAACAGCAAAGAAGAAAAACCCTCCATTTGCTGGAGTTCATTTTGATAAATATTATTTTGTATGATCAGATGCACACAGGCATTGGGACTTTTTCTTCCTCCCCTAAGAGTATCCTCTTTTTGTCTCAGGGTGTGTGAATGCCTAAAGACCTGTGTAATTTATCACTCCCCCATGTATTTGAGATCTCGCTTCTGCATATGAGAGAAAACATGCGCAATTGTGCCTCTGAGCTTGGCTTACCTCACTTAACATGATTTGTTCTAGGTCCATCCGTTTTGGCAGGATTAGGTCTTAAACTTGTCAGGGCATGTCTACAACAGAGAGGCAGATTCTCAAATATGGGAGGAAACATCTCCAACAGGTCAGGAAGGTTTTTCAGAGTAGTTTTAAAGAGTTATAATTAAGTCAGGAAGGGTCTCAAACAGAAAGGAAGTGTCTCAGATATAAATGAGAGTTACCTCACTCCAGGAATGGTCACAGGAAGGGCCTCAAATAGATCAGGCCAAGTACTGAAGTGCTGTAAACAGAGGCAGTGATTTTCAAATACAGAAGGAATCTCCTCAAACAGATCTGGAAGGTTGTCAAAATAGCCAGGGAAGAGCTCTGAAGAAATCAGAAGGCATCGCCAAGTGAGAGAAAATAAAAACCCAAATACCTCTAAAAGAGTCTCAGGAACACCAGGGAAAGTTTCAAGTAAGTTGGGATGGGTCTAAAACAACTCCAAAAAAGGTGGACAATATGTCACAAAGAGTCTAAAAGAAGTCATGAAAAAAAGCCAGATGCTGTGGTGAACACCTGTAATCCCAAATAGTTAGGAGGTGGGGACAGGAAGTTAATAAGTGTAGGCAAAACAACCACAGAAAAGCAAACAAAAGAACTGGGGCCGGCTGGGAAGGTGCCTCAGTGGTAGAGTGCTTGCCTTGCATGCATGAGGCCCTGGGTTCGATTCCTCAGCACCACATAAGCAGGAAAAAAAGCCAGAAGTGGCATTGTGGCTCAAGTGGTAGAGGGACAGCACCCAGGCCCAGAGTTCAGGCCCCACGACCAGACCCGCTATACCAGGCACCGGTGGCTCATGCCTTAATCCTAGCTACTCAGGAGGCTGAGATCTGAGGATCGTGGTTCAAAGCCAGCCTGGGCAGGAAAGTCTGTGAAACTCTTATCTCCAATAAACTACCAGAAAACCAGAAGTAGCGTTGTGGCTCAAGTGGTAGAGTGCTAGCCTTGAGCTGAGGAGCTAAGGGACAGCACCCAGGCCCAGAGTTCAAGCTCCATGACCAACAAAAAAGCTGGGGCTTTGGCACAAGAGGAAGAGCAAGAACATATATATAGCACTCATGAGGCCTTTGGTTAAATCTACAGTACAGCAATAACAAAAGCAAGCAACAGCCACCACACCAAAAACAAGTAATAAAGACTCTCAACTATGTCAGGAAGTGTCTGAAGTACATGAAGTAGATTCTCAAACACAACAGGAACAGTTCAGGATCATAATAGGAAATCTCCAGAACAGAGAAGAGTCTCAAATACATCAGAAAACTTCTCAAACAAGTCAAGAAGCTTCTCAAAGAAGTAAGGATAAGTTACAGATAAATCACTTAAGGAGTTGGGCACTGGTGGCTCATTCCTGTAATCCTAGCTACTTAGAAGGCTGAGATTTGAGGATCACAGTTCAAAGTTAGTCTGTGTAGGAAAGTTCATGAGTCTCTTATCTCCAGTTAACCAGCCAAAAGCCAGAAATGAAGCTGTGGCTCAAGTGGTAGAGTACGAGCCTCTAGCACAAAAAGTCAGAGACAGTTTACACTCCCACCAACAATGTGGTAGGGTTTCCTTCTGTCCACATCCCCTGTAGCATCTGTTGTTGTTAGAGTACTTTGGAAAGTACTATAGAGGTTCCTCAAAAGACTCCACATAGAGCTCCCCTATGACCCAGCAATCCCACTTTTGGGCATTTACCCAAATGATCACAAACAAGACCATACTAAAGCTACCAGCACAACTATGTTTATTGCAGCATTATTTACCATAGCTAAGATATGGAACCAACCCAGATGCCCCTCAGTAGATGAATGGATCAAGAAAATGTGGTGTATATACACAATGGAATTCTATGCCTCCATCAGAAAGAATGACATTGCCCTATTTGTTAGGAAATGGAAAGACTTGGAAAAAATTATATTAAGTGAAGTAAGCCAGGCCCAAAGAAACATAGGTCCCATGGGTTCCCTTATTTGCAATAACTAGTATATGTCTGAGACAAGCAGAAAAGGTCAGATAAGTTGATGTTAGGTGAAATGAACCCCAAGATAAGGACTCAAATGGTTTTTCTTTCTTGTTATTGTTTCTAACATATTTATAAGGTGATATTTTTGTTGCTTTGTATGTCTCTCCCCAACTGCATAACCCCTGTTTTCACTGTATTTGATGTTGGTATAATTTGTGGAGGGGAAGGGAAAAAATAAATTGTTTAAATAGGGATACAGGTGAACCCATTGCAACAATGCTTTCATTACAAGATGCTATGTCAAAAGGCGAACTTTACAACTTTGGCAGGGAGCGGGAGGAGAAGAGGGGGAGGCAGGGATGGGAAGGGGAAACAAAGGAGGAGGCAGCAATGCTTGATAAGAAATGTACTCATTACCTTGATCATGTAATTGTAACCCCTCTGAATGGTATTTTCACACACACACACACAAAAACTTATTAATAAAAAAAAATCAGAGACAGTTCTCAGGTCCTGAGTTCAAGCCCCAGGACTGGCACCAGAAAAAAAAAGTCATGAAGAATGTTGAATAGGTAAGAGAGGTCATCAGATTTTCCAGGAATGCTCTCAAGGTCATAAGAAGAGTTTCAAATATTCCAAAAATGGTCTCAAATAGTCAGAAAAGATCTCAAATAAATTAAGAAGATCCACAGATATGTCAGAAAGAGTAGTAAAAATGGCACCGTAATTCCACACATGTCAGGAAGAGTCTCGTACAAGAAGAGTTTCAAGCAAAATAGAGAGGACTTCAAGCACAACAAGGAAAGTCTCAGACAACCACGTCAGAAAATATCTCGAATTCATCAGAGTTTGAAATAGGTCTTGAAGATGTCAAGCAGACAGGCAGAGCCAGAGAGCACTCAGATACATCAGGAGACATATTGAGTTGAACAGTGTCTCCCCAAATTTCACATGAACCTTAAAGCTCAGAATGGAATCTTATTTGGAAACCATGGAATTAGTTAAAATGAGCTCTTATTGAATTCAGGGACCGTTAGTGGCCTGCAAAAAAAAAAAAGGAAAAAGATATTCTAAAAAATTTTAGCATACATTAGTTGTACAAAAGGGAGGGGGCATTGTGACATTTCTATTCATGTACACAATGCGCCCTAATCAAGCTTATCCATGCCCTTCCCATCACTCTTCCTTTTTATCTCTCCCCATCTTCCAACAATTTCATCAGAGTTCTTTGTTCTGAATTCATAGATGCATGTAAAGTTATTTGACCCATTCACTCTCATTCATCCTCACCACCATTTAACCTCCCTCATCCTGCCAATACTGTCCCTCAATAGAGTCTGTTATACTTTCCTGTGGCTAACAAAATCTCTCTCTCTCTCCTTCTGTCTCTCTCCCTTTCTCTCTCTCCCTCTCCCTCTCTGTGTTTTTTTCTCCCCTGCCCCCACCTGACTATTTTTTGGGCCTTACCAGGGGCTGTGTGCTGTCCCTGGAGCTTTCGTGCTTAAGGCTAGTGCTCTACCATTTGAATCACAACTCCAATTGTGGCTTTTTTGGTATTTAATTAGAGATGGCTTTCCTGCCTGGTGATCCTCAGATCTCATCCTCCTGAGTAGCTAGGGTTACAGGCATGAGCCACTGGCCCCTGGCAAAATGTCATTTTTTTCCCTTAAATGTAAGCAAGTGAATGAGTGTTCGGATTCAGGGCCAGGCCTTGTAACTGATGACTTGAGTAGCAATTCAAAGGAAGTGTTTTCCATCACCAGGATAATCCTGGGCCTTCACATAGATGTGCTGATGTGCTCAGAATTTCAGAAAGAGCTAGAAATATTAGGCCCATCCATCTCTTGTCTTCCCCTCCCCCACCCAGGAATTTGTACTGTTGCCAAGTGAACAGAATGCTAAACTCTTCTGACCCAACT